GGCTGCTTCTCGCTCTGCCTGTGTCTCTGCCTCTCTGTGTGTCTCTCACGAATAAATAAATAAAATCTTAAAAAAAAAAAACTAAACTAAAAAGCTCCACAAAAGACAGTCTCAAGGGAATGAGAAGACAATACACAAACTGGGAGAAAATATTTGCAAAAGACACACCTGACAAAGGACCATTACCCAAAATACACAAAGAACTCTTAAAACTCGGGATCCCTGGGTGGCGCAGCGGTTTGGCGCCTGCCTTTGGCCCAGGGCGCGATCCTGGAGACCCGGGATCGAATCCCACATCGGGCTCCCGGTGCATGGAGCCTGCTTCTCCCTCTGCCTGTGTCTCTGCCTCTCTCTCTCTCTCTCTCTGTGACTATCATAAATAAATAAAAAATAAAAAAAATAGTTTGTATCTATTAGAACTCTTAAACCTCAACAAGAAACAATCCAATTAAAAAATGGACCAAAGACCTAATGGATACCTCACCAGAGAAGATATACAGATGGCAAATAAACATATGAAAAGGTGTTCTACATCATATGTCATCAGAGAAATGCAAATTAAAATGAGATACACGCCTATTAAAACAGCCAAAATTCCGAACACAGACAACACCGAATGCCTATAAGGATGTGGTGCAATGAGGACTCTCATTCATTGCTGGTAGGAATGTGAAGTGGCACAGTTCCTTTGAAGACAATTTGGTGTTTTTTTGTTTTGTTTTGTTTTTTTTACAAAATTAAACATAATCTGGGGCGCTTAGCTGGCACAATATGTAGAGCATGCAATTCTCGATCTTGGGGTCATAAGTTCAAGTCCCATATTGGGCATAGTATCTACAAAAAAAAAAAAAAAGAAAAGAAAAGAAAACCCTAAACTAAACATAATCTTATTGTATCACCCAGCAATTATATTCCTTGGTTTTTATCCAAAGGAGTTAAAAACTTATGTTCACACGCAAATCTTCACCCAGATATTTATAGCAGCTTTATTCATAAATGTCAAAATCTGTAAGCAACTAAGATGTCCTTTAGTAGGTGAATGTATAAATAAACTGCGGTACATCAGATGATGGAATTCTATTCAGCATTAAAAAGACACTGGCTATTAAGCCATGAAAAGAAAGGAGCCTTAAATGCATATTACTAAGTGGAAGAAGCCAATCTGAAAAGGCTACATCCTGTATTATTCCAACTATGTAACATTCTGCATGAGGCAAAACTAGGGAGACAGTAAGGAGATCAATGGCCGTCAGGGGCTGTGCGGGGAGGGGAAGGGATGAATAAGCTGAAGAAACAAAAGCACAGATTTTTAAGGCAGTGAAAATACTGATGCCATAATGACAGACGCCTGTCCAAGCCCACAGAACATACACCACCGAAAGTGAGCCCTAAAAGTAAATGATGGAGTCCAGCTGATCATGATGTGTCAGTGTAGAGTCATCAATTGTAACAAAAGTCCTCACACTGATACTGGGGGAAATCTGCATGGGGGGGGGCAGTGGTATATGAGAAATCTTCACACCTTGTCTTCAACTTTGCTGTGGACCTAAAACCGCTCTGAAAAAAAAAAAAAAAAAAAAGACTTTATTTAAGAATTATTTGAAAGAGAAATGGGTGGATCTCATTGCTACCCATCCTATTCAAAATTCTTCAGAGGTTCCCCAGTGCTCGGAGAAAAACCAAATGCCTTCCTGGCTGCCCCTCATGTCCCTGTCCCTCCCCACCAGGTCAAGCTCTTGCTGCACTGACCCACTCTTTCCCTCTTCAGGCCTCTATGCCCTCTACTCCAGCGGCCTTTCATCTCACCCACAAACCTGGCTTCACAAGGGCCAGCTTTGCTGAGCAGATGGCTTGCAGTTCTTTGGCCCCTCCTCCCTGTCATGTCATTTTGTGTATGTCCTTCATATTCTTATCACAATCTTTAGTCACTTCATCTGCTAAGCAGTTTAATGACCATCACCCATGAAAATATACGCAACAGATGCAAACCCTAGTACTTAATACTTTTGGCACAGAGTAGATACTCAATAAAGATTTGTTGAATGAATAATAAAATGTTAACTTCAGGTCTTACTGCAAAAGAATATTCTCAATCCAATCTTTAAAATCAATAAGACGGGGATCCCTGGGTGGCGCAGCAGTTTGGCGCCTGCCTTTGGCCCAGGGCACGATCCTGGAGACCTGGGATCGAATCCCACGTCAGGCTCCCGGTGCATGGAGCCTGCTTCTCCCTCTGCCTGTGTCTCTGCCTCTCTCTCTCTCTCTCTCTCTCTCTGTGTGTGACTATCATAAATAAATAAATAAATTAATTAATTAAAAAAAAATAAAATCAATAAGACGGGCAGCCCAGGTGGCTCAGCGGTTTAGCGCCACCTTCAGCCTAGGGCCTGATCCTGGAGACCGGGGATCGAGTCCCATGTCGGGCTCTCTACATGGAGCCTGCTTCCCCCTCTGCCTGAGTCTCTGCTTCTCTCTCTCTCTAATGAATAAATAAATAATATCTTTTTAAAAAATAGTCTGGGGGTGCCTGGATGGGGTAATCAGTTAGGCATCTGACTCTTGATTTTGGCTTGGTTCCTGATCTCAAAGTGGTGAGATCCAGCCCCATGCTGGGCTCTGCACTCAGTACAGGGTCTACTTGAGACTCTCTCCTCTGCCTCTCCCCCTGTATGCATACTCTCTCTCTCTCTCTCATATAAATAAATCTTTAAAAAAAAAAAAAAAAGATCTGTACTTAGCTTGATGCCAGGCCACTCTTCCTCCCACACACTCTACACTGCAGCAGCGAGCTTCTCCCCACAGTCCCTGAACATACCATGGCCTGTAAGCCTTTGCAAAGGCCCCCCCAACACACCCTATAAGAAGTACTTCTCCCCTAGGAAACCTTCAGACTCCCTCTGACACTTAGTTTGTCTTTCTCTGCTGTCAGAGAACATTGAGCACCTCATTATCACACAGCAGTCCATCCTTTGTTTTCCAACTTCTCTAATGGACTCTTTGTGGACTTCACCCGGGTCCTTCTAGTCTATATTCCTTGTGGTGCTTCCAAAGACCAACACAGTATGGTCAATACTGTACTCGGCAACTATTTGTTAAACTCTCAAAACACCTTGCCAGGACTCCCCAGGTATGACAGCCCAAATATACATCCACTGTTATGCAAAAATTCACTGGTCTCTTAAGTCCAGGCCCAAATAACACATGCGTTTAAACTGAACACACACTTTGAACAACTGCTCACTTCTACCTCGGGTCCACAGAGCTGTTGAGCTGTCCACTCCCTCCTGATTCTACCAAGCTCCTTGTGCTTCACTATATCTAGAAATCTCTCCATGCTTGTTTTCATTATGTGTACAACTGATACCTGATTTGTCCTTCATTTTTCCAAGTTCAATCAACTGATGCTGTTTCCTTCTTTTTTTTCCCCCAAGTGCCAGGAACCATTTTGTCCAAACTATCCAGAAGCTAATATAAAATCCAAACTTGAAGTGTTACCTTCCTGGGAGAAAACTGGAAAACAAATCAGTAGAAGCCAGTCTTCTACTGAGAAAGACAATGTGGGGGAGCCCCCGGTGGCCCAGCGGTTTAGCGCCGCCTGCAGCCCAGGGCGTGATCCTGGAGACCCGGGATCGAGTCCCACATCAGGCTCCCTGCATGGAGCCTGCTTCTCCCTCTGCCTGTGTCTCTGCCTCTCTCTCTCTGTCTCTATGAATAAATAAATAAAATCTAAAAAAAAAAAAAAGAGAGAGAGAGAAAGACAATGTGGCTCCAAAATAACTTAAACCTCTGAAAACCACTTGCTAGTCACTCCTCCAGGAGGACTATCCGTATCCCATCTTCCCCACCAGAGTCTCAAGGCCAGTCCTGAAAACTCAGGGAGAGCATCCCCTCTATTTGTACAGGCTGGTTCTCTGGTTAGAAAGCTCCCTGAGGGCAGCGGGCAGCGACTGGGACCACAGCATCCCTAGAGCCTAGCACATGGCTGACATTCAAGGGACCCCAAATAATCAATCCCTGGTGAATGAACGAACATGGGATGTAAGCTGAGATATCAAACAAAACAAAACAAAAAGCCCTACGAGGTCAGAAACCCTATCAAGGTGCACTTCACTGGGTGTGAGAAAACACAAAAAGCCCTGCAGCTTAGGAGACACTGGCGACTACTCCCAGATTCTGCTCATGCTGGATTTGCAAGAAGTCCGGGGGAGGGGGGGGGGTCACCCGCAAGTGCAACGCATCACTCCAGCAGATAAAGCGTGCACCCAGGCTGGGGACCCCACAGTCCCGCCAGCAGATGGAACAGAAGGAACAAACGTAACAGACTTAAGATTCCTGAGCGTCAGCGAGAGAGTGAGGAAGAAGGATCAAGAGCAGGGAGGGGAAGTGGAAGTAGAGCGTGTGGGCAACCACAGCAGGGGGCGACCCTTTAGTGAAGTGTATCAGGTGCCAGGCTCGGTGCTCAGCACTTCGCACGCACGGACCCACCTGATCCTCCCACCCAGGGGTAGAAGGCGTTATCATCCCCGTTTAACGGATGATGAAGCTGCAGCGCAGCGACGTGGCATCACCTGCGCCGAGCGCACGGCTGGGGGGTCTGACGCCGGGGCACCCCATCCTTGAAGCCTCCAGGCCCTAACGCAGGACTGAGGGAGGGGACCCCCATTCACCCTCCGGAACACCTGGGGGTGCGTGCCCAGGTCTGCGCCAGCAGCGCCAGGGCGCGGAGGGTCGGGGGACCGACCGGGCGCAACGTCAGGCAGGCGCCGCGGGCGGGCCGGCAGGGGGACCCAGGACGCGGGACGGGGGATGAGGGATGACGGCCCAGGGATGAGGGATGAGGGATGAGGGATGAGGGCCCGGGGACGCGGCGGAGGACCGCCCAGCCTGGCGCCTCAGGTGCTGGCGCGCGGGCGAGACGGGCAGGGCGACCCCAGGCGCCGAGGCCAGGGAAGGGCGGCCCGGGCGAGGCCGAGGAAGGGGCGCGGAGGAAGGGGACTCACCTCCCGCGGCGGCCCCTCCGGACTCGTCGGCCCGGCCCGGCCGGAGGAGGCGGGGACGGACTCCGGGCCGCGGGGGCTGCCGGGAGCCCGTTCCCTGGGCAACCGCGCCGGGCCCGCTGAGCGACAGCCGGGGGCTAGAGCGGCAGAGCCACAAGTGGCGGCCGGCCAGCGGCGCGGAGCGGAAGCACGTCAGCGCGCTTCCGGCGGGCGTGGGCGGGGCTTCGCGCTCCTTCCCGGGATACCTGCGGACGCATGGCAGGTGGGTGCGCGCGCGCGGCGGGAGCGTCCTGCGGGTCGGCGGGCGGCCCCGGAGCCCACCGGCTTGGCCGGGCCTCTGTTGTCTTCCAGAACTACTGGATGTGGGATCCCTGGGTGGCGCGTTTAGCGCCTGCCTTTGGTCCAGGGCGCGATCCTGGAGACCCGGGATCGAGTCCCACGTCGGGCTCCCGGTGCATGGAGCCTGCTTCTCCCTCTGCCTGTGTCTCTGCCTCTCTCTCTCTCTGTGACTATCGTAAATAAATAAAAATTAAAAAAAATAAACGAAAAACTACTGGATGTGTGCGAGGGAGTGTCAGCACATCCTGACCCCCCAAATTGTAATTGTCTTTGTAAACTAGCGTTAGCCGGGGTGCTTGGGTGCCAGGGCTTGCATGCCCAGCTCCTCCCAAAACCTTTCCCTGAGTTCCCCCTCGGGACTACCCGCCGCACAGAGCCCTTTGCCTCTAATAAGAGCTGTCAATCAGCGAGTGCTCGCTGGGTCAGCTCGTTTGAGCCTCAACTTGATCCCACGTAGTAACGTGCGCAGGTTGGGAGGATCAGGGAGGGAGCCGCTATGCTGAACCTCTCTGCTCTGTGCTGGGCCTCTCGTTCCTGGTCTCTTTCCCTCCTGGCCTGGGGTCCCTTGGAGTTAGATCTGTGGTTTGGGTTGCTAAATATGGAGCAGACGGAGAATGAATCAGATGTGGTCTTCGCCCTCAAGGAGCCCCTCCTGCAGGAGAGAAACCCTTAGAAGATGATAGTGCAGCTGGTAAAAAAATATTTCTCCATTTAACATATTTTATTTGTCACCTACTGTGTTCCTGGGTGAGGAGAGGGAACAAGACATAGTCACTATTCGGGTGGCCTCACAGTCCACCCAGCAAGTCTACCACACTAGTGAGTGTCGGTGATAGTTCAAGAAGAGGTGGTTTCAGACATCTAGTGCGATGAGTCCTAACCCAACCTGGGAGATCCAGGAAGATTTCTCTGTGGAAGGAGTGGCTTTCTTTCTGAAAACCTACATCAGATCATATCACTTTCCTACTCAAAGCTTATTGGTTCCTTTCCACTGACTTGGAATAAACCTAAACTCTTTATCTTAGTATGTAAGCTTCCATTTGCTTGACTGCTTCCTCACCCAGGTCCCTCCCCACCACCTTTCCTTTATAAGTGATGTGGGGTCATGGAGCACAACAGTCAAGAAAGAATTCCTGGGATGTTGCATGGTGCAACTTAGTAAGTTTATTTAAGTAGCCTGGGGACAGGGGATCCCTGGGTGGCGCAGCAGTTTGGCGCCTGCCTTTGGCTCAGGGCGCGATCCTGGAGACCCGGGATCGAATCCCATATCGGGCTCCCGGTGCATGGAGCCTGCTTCTCCCTCTGTTGAGCTAAGTCTTTGGCTTAGGTCGAGATCCCAGAGTCCTGGAATCAAGTCCCGCATCAGGCTTCCTACAGGAAGCCTGCTTCTCCCTTTGCCTATGTCTCTGCCTCTCTTTCTATGTCTCTCATGAATAAATAAATAAAATCTTAAAAAAAAGAAAAACCAAAAACTTAAAAAAAAAAAAAAAGAATGTAGCAACCAGCACGATTTAGTTATTTTTTTTTTTTTGACCAGCACATATTTGATCTTTGTTCAGAACTATGTAGACTAAAGGTCAGCCTTCTGGGCTAAAGGTGAACATTTTTCTGCTTCTACCCTCATCATAGATACACTGGCCTTGCTCAGTTTTTCAGACTCACCAAGCTCATTCTCACATTAGGACCCATACTGTTGACCTTTCAACAAGCCTAAATGACATCTCTTCAGGGGTTCACTCTAACACAAGACCCCATTTTCTTTTCTACCGGGCACTTACCAAGATATAAATTGGTCATGGTCATTTGGTTGTCTATTATCCACCTCCTCTTTGGAAAGTAAGTTCCATGAAAATGGTCCTGGTATGTTTCATTCAGTCACTTCATCCCCCATGCCTGGCACATTGTTGGTTAGTGGTATAAGTAAAGAATGAAGGGAAAACCAATATGATCCTTAAATAAGCAGAGCCTTAAAGAATACTAGGAGTTAGCCAAGTGAGTGGGGACACACATGGCCAGGGGAGATATTCTAGGTCAGAGTCAGAACTTGTACAGAGCTAGCCCTAAGGCATGGAGAGCAAGCTGGGGGAAGCTGGAGAAGTGGTAGACAGGACTTGCATAACAGGCTGTGATATTATGGTTTATAATAAGTAAATATTTGGTCTTTGTCTTATTCTTGGCACAGAGGTAAAACCCTTGGTGTTTCTGAAGTGTGAGAATGATCAGGATGTCTTGTTACATTGATAAGGTGACTTTTGGGAAGTCCCTAGGTGACCTTTGGGTGGGGGCTGGTTCCCCCCTACAGAAACCAATCATGTGATTATTAAAGAGTTAGAATTTTCAGCCCCACCTGCATCCCCTGTGCCTCCAGGGGAGAGGGGCTGGAGGTTCAATCAATGGGCACTGCCCAGTGACTTAATCAACCATGCCTATGCAATGAAGCCTCCATAAAAGCTGACAAGGATGGGATTTGGGGAGTTCCAGGTGGATGAACATGTGGAGATTTGAGGAGAATGGTGTACTACTCACAGAGCATGGAGACTCCATGCCCCTTTCTGCATACTTTGTCCCCTGCATCTCTTCCATCTGGCTTGTTCTGATGGAAAGAAAAAAAAAATGTATACTTACATATATGTTTGCTCTCCAACTAAGACCATAAAAATCTTAGTTTGTTAAGACTTATTAAACTAAAGTTTGTTAATTTTAACAGAGCAAAGAGCAATTTTATTTAAGTAAAAAAAAATTATTCAACCACAGCAGAGGAATTGCAATTTGGAACAGGCAAGCTATAGTGAACTATAGGCAGGTTTGAAGAGACAAAGGGAAGGTCAGCTTTCATTAGGTTTCAGGGGGAAACTGGGAAGGGTTATTGTAAACAAGTGTATTGGAGAAGAACAAGAGTTTGAGGTTTAGTGGTTTCTGCACAGTGGTTTCTCCCTTGGCTGTAGGCGACAGTTAATGCATTATTATTGGGGCAGGGAGGGCTCTTCCTTTTCTTAGAAGCAGGAAATAAAATTCCTATGTGAAATATGTCCTCCATTGTTGAGATAATTCTTATCTTTTTATTCCTCCTTGTTGTGCGAGCCACTGCAAGTGGTAACATGTGTAAGCACCCCCCTCTCCAGGGCTTTCTGACTCTATTTTACAGGAGATTTCCTTTATTTTCACATTTCTGCCTTTAGATCAAGGTCTTTTCTCAAAAGCATCACTTTATCAAGAGTCCGGTTTTCCGTATATAGTGGCTTTTGTCCCTGGGTGCCAGGAAGGACCTTTCTGGTTGGAAGGAAAGTGCATAATGACTAGAAACTACTGAGGCCACCTGTGAGTAACAAGAAAGAGTACGAGGGAGGACTCAGCATTTCCCATCTAAAATCTCTTTCTTGCGAGGTTAAGTGTTAGAGAGCATCTGGAAGCCCTCAGCTAGCATCACACTGTTTGGTGCATCTGTTCCTGCAAAGTTTTGACAGGCAATGGGTACAAAATTTAAAAGTAATCATACAAAGCAGAATTAAAAGTAATATGACAAATCCAGGATGATGGTTCTAAACCAGGAGCTCAAACCTGAAGGTAACCAGCTAAATAGATCAAAAGACCAGAGGTCATTGGGTGAAATTTGTTGCAATCAGAGGTCTCCTTCCCTGATCTTGTGTAATTGGGTTTCTCTTTCTCCAGACATATTTATCCAGGTGCAACAAACAGGTGGTATTTGCCATTGCATAAATGCCTCCTTGTTCAGCAAGTAGATTGTCCAAAGCTTCCTTTAGCCAACAAGTCATGTGATCATTGTCGAGCTGTTCTTGCTTTGGCTGTAGAATCGGCTACCTCTTCTAATGTTAGGGAGAGATTTCTGATCATGTGTTCATTTGCTCTTATTCCGATTCCAGAGGAAAAGCCTCCCTACAGAGGCAAACCAGGAGTCGTACAGCCCCCTGAAGTTCCCAGTTAAGAGAGCCATGGAGGCCTAATGTGGCAGGTCAGCGGAGGCCTCTGGTTTGTTATTGTTTTATTTGTTATAAACAATAAACATTGACTTCCAAGTTGCCAACTGTCTAAGCATTTGTATGCGTATGGAAAATGCTGTCCACTGTAAACAAAAATGAAACCAGGTGGTACCCAGGGGACTCCAGCTAAGGTCTTATTATTGATAAATTTATTAGTTGGAATTTCCCGATTGACCTTTTCAATCCAGGGATGAAAGGAATTGGGATGGCATTCTATGAGAGGCCATCCCTTCATTAAGAAATCTTTTCTAAAAATTTGCAAAGGGGCATAAACTTGTTTGTATTTCCTTTAGGTGTAGGGAGACCACACTTAGATAAGGAAAAAAATGTGGGATTGTACAATTAACAAAGATGGAGGGATTTAACTGAGCTAGTGTGGTTACGACTGGGGAAAGGCTGAAGCAAATATGGGAATGCCTGGTCATAATAGCCTAACTCGATAGGTAACATCTATAGGCTTGTGGGTGTAATCAACAGTGGCATTTGGCACTAGAAGGAAATCGGTTATAGGTAAGACCAAGGGGTCTCCAATATTGTGAACAGATCAGAGCTTCTGGTGACAGATCCAATAGTCAGGTTTCCTTCTTCTGCGGGGGATTGGGAAATGCGATTGGGGCATTGACTTTCCAAGAAAAAGAAGGTGAGGGGAAAAAAAATAAAAAAATAAAAAAAAAAGAGGGTGAGGGGCGTCTGGGTGGCTCACTCAGTTGGGCGTCCCAACTCTTGGTTTTGTCTCAGGTCATGATCTCGGGTTGTGAGGTCGAGCCACATGTTGGGCTCCATGCTGGGTATGGAGCCTGCTTGAGATCCTCTCTCTCCTTCTCCTCCCCACCCCCACCACTTGTATGCATGCTCTTTCTCTCAAAAAAAAAAAAAAAAAGAAAGAAAGAAAAGAAAGAAAGAAGAAGAAAGAGGAGGGGATCCC